GTTTTGTATTTTGACTTAATTTAAACCTGGTTGTGTGAAGACTTTAAGATTCTATGCGAAATGTGTTAAGCAAGTATGATAATCCTAGTTGTTAAACATAGTCGCTAAATATCAGTAGGTGTACATGTTGCACTCACACAGTTAAAGAAATATTAATGAAAAAATTAATAAAATAGTTGAAGAAATAGAGTAATACTGAATATCTATAATGAATTAATCAGGCCTACATGGAGCTAGCTGAAGTGACGATAATTAGTTGAAACATTTCGCTGCTTCACTTATAAGCAGTGCCATTTAAAGTATTAGTATGATTTACAACAATGGTGATAAGAATTGCATTATCTAAAAAAATAAATGTTTATAATTGATCTCACCCTCAGACGCATTGTCTAAACTAAAAATACAAAAATGTCCCTGAGTCCTGCGATTAACATTGATACCAGAATAAAATACGAAACAACTCGATGATATTTCAAATGGAGGAACAGTGATTCCATAAACCTTCATTGGATCCAAACGAGAATGACGGTCCAGGTTACGCCGGGGTCGCGAAACTGCATAAAGGTGTCTATCGATTTGAAACACAAGATATCGAAGATGGCAAGACGTAGGAAAAGAGAGTAAAGGACATCGATGGGTGGAGGTGAGAAACGGGAAGTGTCGCTACGTCGAGCGAATCCAGGAATAAGAGGAAGGCGATGTAATAAAGCGAGTCGCGAGTAAGGCACGTCTCGAAGGCAACAGCTACCCTTAGAGTTACAATCTTCTTCGATTTCAAGAGGTCGACAGATCAAGCTGCTTACGCAATATCCGCTGTATTCTTACGGGAAGCACGAGGATGACCCTCGGAGTTCAAATAAGCATCGGCTATAGTACATCTCTTGCATTTTCTCGTCGTTTCGAACTTCTGTTACAAAAGAGGAGACCTTACTCCAAAATTTGTCACAGATCAAGAGGTGATTCTATGTGGTACACTTTGAAATAGATATGAGATTATAGCGAATAGTTTTTTTTAATGTTCCTATCGTTTCGCGATTTTGGTAATTATTTAAAAGGATAATCTACAGACTACACATTTGGTAAATATGTTAAAATGTTTATGTAAATACAGCCAGTCCCATAAATATTCGTACCCTCTATGTCTATTGAAGAAGTTTGACTAAATTGAATAATAGTTTTGATATTACCAAATGAATTGTTCATTATAAATATGTATATGAATAAGCCTATACGTGTATATATTTATATATACTTGAATATATATTACAAACATACACTTGGAATATGGATTATGTTATATTTATTTCACAACTTTAGCAATATTTCACATCTAAGAATTTGTAAAATATGCTGCCATTCCACCATAAAAAAATGTGTACAATACATAAGTACCTAAAATATTTCTCCACTTTATAAACATAATCACTGTTATTACTTATTCATTCCTGTACGGTATACAGTCACTGCAAATTTATTCTTCTTCTGATGTGCCCCTTAATAGAACAAACACAAACATTCCGTGACACGTCGTCGCCCAAAGTTCTCCCATGTCAGACTCCAAAAAGCTCTAGATTCTGCTCAAGGAACAGTTTCACATCGTTTTGCTCTTATTTTCACTCCGTTGGTTATCGATTTCCTTTTACACGGTGTTCAATTTTTCGGATAAAATACAAAACGATACACAGGGTGGTATCGAACGAGTATAGATAAAAGTTTGTCCGTCCCCTAGTAGAAAAATACTAAAATCGGCAGCTTCCAGTCGTAGGAGAACGAAACGTCCCCCCTCCCATCCACCGTTACCCTTCCTGTAACAGGGCTTGTTTATGAGTATCGTTTGAGGCAAAGGACCAGCAACAAGCTTTTGTCAACGCAGATACCGATGATATTGAATTTTCACGGTATGCCAGGACAAAGTACGCCGCTGCAGGGGCCGTTCGCAGAGTACACGAAGAAAGTGGCAACTCTAAGTGCATAATGCAACCAACAGTACGCACTAGGAAGACGCAGACTGGTCTATTCGACCAGTCAGGCCTCGCCGAAACCACTGGACGACCAAACGGCTCGTTTGTAATAGCCCGGTAATCGTGTTTGCTAATTGAAATTATGTCCTTACTGAGTCGACGTGACGCCGCACCCTCGCTCGCCATGCATCACGGTAGATAATGCACTATGCAACGGGAGTCACGCGAAAAAGGAAACAACAAGCGTCGATATTTCATTTTTTCGTCGTGGGGAAAATTCACGCACAGTTTGAGGGAAACTTTGATTGAATTTCCAGGCTGGCTGAGAGTCGCAATAAATTTTGACGAAATATTGAATCGAAAAAGATTTCCGTTTTTTTATAAAATTATGTTGACATAGGTTCATGCAAATATTGATATGGTGCATTCTTCTGGTTGATATCGTTTGCGTGTCGTGAGTTATGTTGTTATTCAATAAATGTTATTAAAGTATCGAGTTCACTTATGTATTTGAATTTTAATAATTGCAATTATTTTACATTCACTTCTAGTACAGAAAATGATTATTTACTTGTGAGGTTTCTTTCAATTTCTCTAATAGTTAGTTACAGATGTAGGTATCGTAAATTTTGCATTGTTACTCGTTTTAACGCGTCCAATTATTCTTCATTGCTTAGAGAAAAGTGCTATAGTTACATTTTGCGTGAATGTAAAAAATCCAGGAACATGATCGAAGTGCAAGGATTCTCATTCCCATCACGTGCGATACTACGACCAATAAAACTTTGTCGACTTCCAGCGATCACGCGAACGACCTCTACGTTCCTCAGAGAGAATAAAAGATCCCTGAATAGAAATCGCGGCTGATCAATAAGGAAGACATCGAAACTCATTTTACGACAGAGAAAAGCTTCTACTGTAGTAGTCGCAGCTCCGTAGCGTTTATTTATTAATCCACTATGTCGACTAATACGCAACTTTCTTCTTAGATACATAAATGGCGCCAGTACAAAGATTATCGAGAAAATTCATTTATTTTTTTCTAAATAAATTCAACAAGACTTTTTTTAATTCGAATATTCTTAATTCTCTAATTAGTCTGTAATGAACACTTAAGTTTACACTTAAATACAATTCACTCTATGTGAAAGTACATTCTATGAAAGAATTCTTTCTGCTCAAGCTATGATTTTGTAAAAAAATTCTTAATTTCGAGCAGCATGTTTATTGTTCTTATCAATCAACTTGATCCATTTTGTGTTCCCCATAATCTCTCCTTTGATCTCGTGATTTCCTCAAAATTGGGTCGCTTTTGAAGATTACTAACGTAAGCTTCTTTTTCGTCAAGCTTTCCATCGCTTGAGTAACTCTGAAAATCTCGACAAAGGAAGCATTGCCTTGGAACGATAATTGTTTTGAAAAATGTTACTACAGTAACATACATACATGATACATAGATATACATTAAAAAATGGCTGGTGTGTGTGTTAGATAGCGTGAGTCATATTCTGTTTTGCTTAGTATACTTTAGTTTCACGTGATTTGGATTAGTTTAGCGACGTTTGCTTAATTCTGTCCTGTTTTTTTTTTTTTTATTGTAGTTGCGTATAGTTTTGTCTAATTTTATTTAGTTTAGTAAAATTCAATCAGCTTCGTCAAGCTATCACCAACGATATTGTATAATCCTCTTAATACATGATGCTCCACTTTAAAAGAATTATTTGCGCCCTCAATGAAAATTCAACAAATTGTCCAGTTTACTGTTTACTCGATTACTGAAAACAGAACCGTTAAAACCCCGACAGGCCAGCAAAACTCTGGAGAGGGTTTTGAATTTACGCGAAACCCCGTAGACGCCGAGAGACTCGATCGTCTGGCAGTTGGGAAGCCCTCCTCGAAGAAAGCAGGAAGAGCAACCAATAGGCTATGTATCGTTCCGGATGCAATTGGGTTATTAATTAAGGGTATAAGCTGCCGCGAGAGTGGTTCGTGGACAGAGGATCCTTTTCATCGAGTTTTAATGCCCGTGGTAAAGGAGTGGGCGGGAGAAAAATATTCGAGTGAGTTGGCTAGCCTCTGTGGGAGGCATAAGAGAATCGGTGCAATTATGCCGACGTTGTTAAGGACAGACTTTTAATTTCGCGAATCCTTAATTATTTCCGGGGCTAGTTTTAAAGCCAGACTGGTTCGGCCGATATCAATCTGCAAGGTAACTTTGTGTCTGTAATTGAAAAAGCTTGAAACCCTCGTCCCCTCCGCCCCTCGTTCTCCGCGTGGAAAGAAGGAAACGGATCCCCCAGGCCCACCCTATCTACGAATCGTGCCCCGTAAATAAAATTCTGTTGCCGGTACTTATTTCTTTTCCTTTCTCATCTTTTCGTGGCTTCCGCTCCGCTGTGCCCGCGAGTCCCTTTCTATTCTTTCTTTAACCCGATGGTTTGCTGATTTTTTATTGTGAACGTGTAACGGTCGTTGGCCTTTTATTCGAATCGTTCGCCCCCTCCGCGTTTCTATGTTTCAATCTCGGTACAAATTGCTTCTTAATTTCTCCGGACTATTTCGGATTGAGATTTAGACACGGTTCTGACACTTAGGGGCGAGGGCACCTGGTTATAATAAAATAATAATGTTTCAGGAATTTTTTAAATGTAAATCTCTGGATAGAAATTTTTAAAACATTTACTACTTTAAGATGATATTTTTGAAAAGTTATAAAAAAGATTTCAGTTGAAAAAAGTTTACTCTTTTAAATGTTATGATTACCTTTCTGGCTAAACAAGCACTCTCGATTTTGACAGCAAATCAAATATTCGAAATTTCATTTATTATACACAGTAATAATTATTGAAGGTAATAATTTTTTACTCTAAAAAAAGGGGGGCTTACAAAGCCTTATAAATCATCATAATATATTAAAAAATAAATTGTGTACGTTCAAAATTTGTATAATCAATTGAGTTCCGTAAATTTTATTACATACGAGGATTTGCTTTTCGTATAAACAATAGATCTAACAATAAAAATTGTAAGTGTACGTACTCATATGAAGGATGATGCTGCAAAACCATTTTGCTCTCGGATCTGAAACAATGAACACTTTGTTAATTCATATTAAATAAATTGAATCGAACGTGTTTTCCAATAGGAACTTGAAAATTTTGGTTTTCTAATAACAAAACACAGCCTATTTTTGCGTTCAATTATAATTATATGTACCTTCATTTGCAATCAAACAAATCCAATATACCCCCTACCACTTAGATTTGATTAAAATCACAAAATTAAAAAAAGGAAAACACTTTGGAAAGCCCTTTTCTTCCCATGTTTGTTTTCCAAACAATTTCTGCTTATTTCAATTCGAAATCAAATTTATCCAGTGCCGTAGCACGACTGGTCATTCTAACGAACACGTTCCCCGAGTTTATCCACGGTGAAGTGTTTAACTTGCAAATTTCACAGATAAAATCTTCATGAAACGTTCATCCTTCGGATATGGTGGATCGTAAACTTTCATCGACGGCGCGCACCATTTGTGGTCAAACATGATAAATTTTGAGCGGAGTGGGTCGGGGGGCGGACGGGCGGGCGGTGTCCGTAATACGTGTCCCGATGTTATGTCGTTGATCCAAGCGCATATGTGCGCGTGAAAACGATATTTCACAGGCAGTTTGATGAGCTCCCCACATTAAGCCGGGGGTAAGTAATTATCGACTGAGCAATGACCAGAATGGCCGGGTTGGGCCACTCCCTCCTGGGGTGTCCCAGTGCGTGTCACCGCATTAACCACCCCTATACAGACATCGTTCTCATCAAAGTTCAAACGGTGGATATCTCCGATATGTCATTGTAACCTCTCCATGGCTTAATTAACGAGACTTACCGGGGGGTGGGTGGGGGGAAGCTATCCACGAATGGAAAGTTACTTTATTTTCGCATTTTCCACCCGTCTATGCCGTGTCCAAGGTGTTTTGAAAAGTAAAAGGCAATATTATATTTTTACGTTTCGACACTCTGGCAAATTATTTTACAAATAAATAAACTTATAATATTGCAGAGTAGGCTTTACTAGCAAAAATTCATACTAAAGAGTTTGAATTTAAATTACGAAATAAGTTCATGTACTTGGAAACGGTTCCGAAGTAATATAGGGGTATAATTAAATAATGAGGTTGTAAAAATAAGGTCGATTTGATTGTATCGATTGAACTCTTTTGATGTTACAATTTTTCTTAGACTTCTGGAATGTAAAGTTATTCTTCAGAAAATTACTTTTTAAGCATGTTATAGTTTATAATATGTTCCAACAAAAAGATACATTTGTGAACTACTGCTTTTACATTAGAATCACGTAATTTATGCCTGCTAGGGAGCTAATCACATGCAAGATGTTTTATTTGGAGGAAGTGTGCGTTCTATTTTCAATGATAGACGAATTGCTGTAAAACGAGGCCAAGGAAATAGCAATCTCGATCTATTCTGGGAGGAATATCGTTCCGTGTTCGCTGGTAATGTTCCTTTCTTCGTTTCACCCCTTCGATATCAAACTACCACGAGTCGAAGAAAGCGCGAGCAGTTTGGGTGGCCATTGCAGCAAGCGAAACTTCGACACTCTTGCACTAATGAGAAACTATTGCAAAACGTGATTTGAATGTTCTATAGTAATTGTAGAATCGTTTAAATTGTGGCATTGTTTCTATAGTGAAAAGAATTTATTGAAACATGCATTCTAATGACAAAAACGTGACTCACGAAGTAAAAAATGTAAATACAAATATTTATGTACTCGACAAATAATGTTATTTTCATATACTATAAGCCCAATCTTTTGGAGCACGTACTTCCACTCCAATTAATTCTGAAATAGTCACTGATACTGTACGTTTTAAAAAGTGTTAGGCAAATAATAGATAACTTTGTGAAAAGTTATCTGGACAGACGTTTATTATGGACAGATGCCAGTGGGGATAAAAAAAAAGTATCAGATCGTTACCTCGCAGCTCATTAAATCTGGTTATATTACATCAATATTACAGCTGAAATATACTTTAATTAATTAAATTCACGACTTTGATATTAATTCATGATTATAATTAGCGCAATTCACGGAAACGTCTGGCCAGAGAACAATGGAAACCTCAGGAACAGTTGTGTTCCTGGAACTCCTGGAAATATATATTCGATTTAATACATTCCTCTTTACATATATAATATGCACATGTTTCATTATAAACATATTAAAAAGTTTTATCCGGAACTCTCAACGTTAAGCATGGTTTTTCACAGCCTGAAAACGAATCTGGCGAGAAGCCAAACGAACTGGATATCCTTCTTCTATTTGCAAAAGGAATCCTTCAACTTTTCGTATGCAAACATTGAAATTGTGAAAAATAGAATTTTCACTATTCGAATTGTTCAAGGAAGCAGCAATTAAGTGGATACATAATTAAACATTTGTGGTACATGTTTGACTAAACATTAATAACAATTTGGGTTCAGAACAAGTATTCATTCGAGACATCATTCGTGAGAAAGTCAATATTTTAATATCTATTGAATGCACCAACTAAATATTAATTTCTGATAATAGTTAAATTAATTATTAACAATACTTATTATTTAAACAATGGTGGAGAATATGATTTTGTTTCACGAATTATTTTCTCGATGGTTCCAACGTGTCGTCGAATCGACCGTCATGTGGTTGTTGTTCGCCCTTTCCCTTCTCTACTTCGAGAGGCACGCGCGAGCCGCGACCCTCGACACAGGTATACGAGGGGTGAAGCTCATTCTTCGACGATCCGTCGGTCGATATGGATCTCGCGATCGGGCGTCCGCGTCTCGTGTCCCTCCTATTTTTCCTTGTACCTTAGTTTGCTTGGTATTGGTTGTGGGTACCTTAGTTTGGTTTGGTTAGTTCTAAGTTAGTTTTAAGGCATGCGTGTACAAGTGTCTGTCCTCTACCAAACAATTATTAATCATTTCCTCAATTCTTTTGATTGTTCGTAGATCCATATTGGACTCGCAATTTCGTTCTCCACTTCGGTCACTATTACTTGATGTGATAAGTGAAGTGACCAACTGTGTAACTGGACAGAAAGGCGGTTACCGTTCTCCTGGTGGATCTGTATTCGAGAGGACGACAATCGGCTCCTCCGGATCGGTTCTCTACTTCCTGCATCACGTTTAGTGTAGTCCAAGGCTCCCGGCGCAGTGCAGTAAGTCCAAAGCGCAGTGAGACGGGTGCAAGTCGGGTCCTACAGTGGCTCCCAACGGGGTGCAGGGTGTGGAAGACTGGTTCGGAGGCGTCGGTCGTCTTCCTCTCGAGTCCAGATCCAACAAGAGGAAACGGGACTGACTCAGTAAGTCCGTTACATGGTCGCATCGTGTCGCGATTTCCATTTAGCTTTCATCTAGTTCAAATAATTATTTGGCAGAGTCAGACATAGACTTTGGAAATCAAAGGGAGTTTGTTTTCTTTGATTTCCATGGTTTCGTACTTAGTATTAAACTCGTCGACTCTATGTAGAGTATGCATCTACGTATGTATACTCTATGTAGAGGGAGATCGAAGGAAGTTTGATTCCTTCTATCTCCGGGTCTCCAGTCGTAGCAACCTCCACGTGGTGAGACCTGGTAATCGGTATTATTCGTGACGAACAATCCTTCGTCGCGAGTAATATCGAGCTAATGGCTGCGAACTTAGAATAAGATCTTTAGATATAAAAAGTGTAGTGTAAAGTGTAAAGTCCAAAAGTGTAAAATGGAAAGTGTAAAGTGTAAAGTGTATCAATATCGAGATCGCAAGATTCTCGTCTCGTCTCGGGCGCATCACTACTAATGGAGATTAGTAGTTTTTGAACTGTTTCTGAAGTATTAGACCTGATCTGCAGTGTTATTTATATTATTATATTATTTAATCTGAATAAGTAATGAAATTGTAATTGTGTGTAGCATAAGTTTTATTTTTGTTTCAAGAAATTAAAATGTTTGCTTTCCTATACGATAATTATATATTTTGAAAGTTCAGGAATGAGAATACACAATCACAATCATAGCCTTGCACAATGGTATACGTTCGTAAACCAAGAATTACCTATATTTATATTTACGTTCTCCTTCTTGATAAACGAATCGAGATATTCTTTAAATAATCTCGCAATCAGCGCGGAAATTGTAAACCACTCAAGAATAATGATTCCCGAGCTGAAACCGAATTCCTGATTTGTTTCACCGATTTTATTAGTAACCTCGTTAAACTATGGGAGAGAAGCAGCTCTCTCGATCCTAACTCGCAATCAGTCGACGACTCTCATCGGTGTTCAGAGCTTCCTCTCAAATTACCGCAGACGATGGTCGAGACTGGCGAAGTCAATGGACCGTGCCTTCGTCTCTCCTTCTAGTGAGAAATGGAACGGTGGCTCCTGAATTGGGGCGACAAACCGAGGATTTTCATGCCCCCCAAATCATGCCACCTGACCAATGAATAGTTTTCGGACGGTATTATAATCCAATGCAAGCCAAATTGCGTATTCTCATACTCCTCAGGCGATACCACTCAGACAAGGTCCATTTGTTTTTATAATTTCGTCCAGGCATCCAAATATTCATACTCTATACAGTGATCACATAATAATGAAATATATTCCCGTATTTATTCGTTTCTATAATTTTGTCGAAACCTTCAAATTTTCAAAACATCTTAAAATTTACGAACATATTTCAGTCTTCGCTAAAATTGCATTTAAACAGCAAATAGCCATAACACATAATATTGTAATTTCCTAATGACGTGTATAGTCGTCACAAACCTCTGGCTGGTTAATTATGATGTCCACTAAAATAATTATAACATTGCCAATAACCAAGTAGAAAAATTATTAAAAATAATTGACTTATACTAAACCGTTTATAATTAGATGGCTGGGTTATGTTAAAATTCCGTGTACCTAAAAATTCGTACCTTTAAACAAAAATTCATATAATCCCTCAAACGCATTTCGATAAGAAAGCCAACTTGTATTTCATATTTTCTTCTCGGCTTTGAAAGACAAATCGCAATGCCGATGCCATCCAAAAAATGT